AGGGAGGGAGGTAGGTAGGTAGGCAGGTATGTACGTATCTGCTGCAATTGTGTGAAAGCTTTGGACAACGGATGCCCAGGTCTCGATGGAAGAAGTGAGATGTACCGGAGACAAGAGCCCCTGCCACGATTCGTTACCATTGTTCCCAATCTTTGGCTTCTGCCGATGAATTCGCCCTGGCCCTGCCGCCCAGCTGGGCCCAGCGCTTGCGTATGCTTGCGACTTCCGGACCCGCGCCTCGGCGGAACAGATGTCGATGAGCTTCCACTCGCCGTGCCCGGAGGAGATCACCTGGCCAAAGGCGAAAGCCCTGCAAAGGAGACTTCTAGGGCCTGGGGCCTAGGGCCTAGGGCCTAGGGGCCGGAAGGGAAGCAACGGTCCAGAAACCGGGTTCTAAGTGCAGCTGGCAGACTCTTTCTTGGCACGATGCCCCTGTTGGCAATTGCATACTGCAAGCTTGTATGGTTGGTTGGCTTCCATCAAGACTGAAGCTAATTAGCATGTTCCTCCACACCAGGGCCAGTTGCAGCTTGGTTCCCTTCTTCATCGCCCCCTTGAATGCATGAACGTCCGCGGATAATGGAAAGACAGTGGAGGTCAGACTGCTCAGAGCTGGCCCGTCGCGGCCAGAACCTCTGCTTCGTGCTTTAAGGCAGACAGACGACAGAGAGAGACAGAGCGAGAAGGAGAGCAGAAGAGACAACGACAGGCAAACAGAGGCACTGGCACGTGCAGAGACAGAAAACAGAGGCAAGAAAAGCAAGCTTGACTCTTCCGCGTTTGCATGTGGATTTGCTCGCATCAAGCCAGTCTCGACACAAACTCCCGTGTTCACTCTTATTCATTTTGGTTTTGTATGATTTGTGTCTGCATTCGCTTTCTTGTCTTGCATGCTAAGACCGCGGCCCACCCCTTGCGCGAAATGGCAGTTTGCCGAACACAAGATCTCGACCTCCACCCGCATGGAGCCCGAGTGCCTGGTAGCTGGAACCGAGGGCTTCCTGCAGCAGCTTCTTCGAGTCATCGAAGGCCTCGTCCTCTCATGCTGGCGCAGCCGTCGCTTGGTCTTGCCACATTTAGCAGGCGGGCCATCTGGTAGGCTGTCGGTATGCGGTATGGATCGTCCTCAAAGATGCAAGGGCAAGCTATGGCAGGCTCGAGTCATCCTGAGCTGAGGTAGGGCTTCGGCCACCGGAGTGCCCCGCAACTCGAACTTTTGGAACCGCGAGGTCAACAGTTCCTTTACACACGTTGGTCAACCAAGCCGCTCGAGCATGCCTTGTGCTGCCATGTGCTGCCCAATGCATCCTCGACGGTGGCACGATTGAAGCCGTTGAGCATCTTGCTCCTGTCATCACAGCTGTGCCCCCCGCCAGAACTCACAAACGAATCTGCGATCCCAAGACGGCGTTCCCAAACTCAAGCGGGCCCGGCGAGCTTCCACTCAGGCATCAGCTCCAGGCTGTCACGCTCCTAGCGCGGAGATGCACCGAGATCTGCATGCACCACTCGTGTCGCTCGCGCCTCCCACCAGCCAAGGATGGGCAGACGGGATGGGACCGTGTACACCTCTGTTCCAACACCGCCTCGAGTTGGAGAGACACGTGTACGAAGATGGGAGTATCAATGCTACCTAAGAGACGACTGCAGCAGCCATGTGCCACGCATATCAAAAGATCGGGTCGTATCAATTGGCGCTCTTGCGCCACATCGAGAGCCTCACCGCAGCTTTGGCTCCACGCAGTTTCGCAGGTCAACTATGCTCAGCTGTGGCAGGGGCCATGCTCTTGCTCCGACCTGTGGAGTAAGCCAGGGCCTCAAGTGAAGCGCACGGACACGCCGGAGCCAAGTTCCCTCGATATCCGAACCGGCTTTGCGATATCCGAGATGCTGGCTGAACCGTTCAAGGCATATTCGCCCAGCCACAGGTTCCTGAACTCCTTCACAGCTGTGCTCAACTGTACCATAGGGGCAGGACGAGCCTAAGCCTGTAGCCTCCAAAAGCTTGTTCTCTGGATCCCGCTCATGACCAACAAGCGTATGGTCCTGGAATATGGAAAGTCGGCAACGGCTGTTGGCTCTCGCCGATTTGGGGCAGGGGCCAAGTCCGTCACCACCATCACCTTGCTCTCCCGGATCCTTCGAGCCGCGTACATGCAACTGCCAAGGCACCCTTCCCGCGGTCCTCCTGAGGTGTCCATGCCTCAAGGAGTATTGGCCGGACTCCTTGAGGTCTGCATGAAATGCAGCAAGGCCAGAAGGGCTTTCTCCTAGATGCAGCAAGATTCAGCAATCAAGTAGTTCTTCTTGCCATACCAGTCGGGAGGATTGTCCCAGCTTTGCTTCTTCAGATCGCAGATGACGAACTCTACGCCGTCGGCCTGGTTGGCGAGGGCCAGGGCTTAGAGAGAGGGAGAGAAAGAGCGAGGCCTCGCCTCAATCTGCAGCTGCTTCACAGAGGGCTTGCCTGGCACGTCCTGGTGGCCGGAAGCTCACTGCTGACTCAGTCGACTGGCAATCCCCCGCCTTGAATGGAAAATCCCGCCAAGTGGACTCTCCTTTGGGACATCCTGGCATGGCTTCGGGCTTCCGGGCTATCGTGCAGTCCTCGGCACTTGAAGATTCCTCCTCAATGACTGGACAGGTGCGCCGTGCAGCTGACAGTGGTCCCAGCCCGTGTAGTAATACAGCCTGGCGCGAGGCACCAAAAAATCGGGGCTAGACGCTCATTGGGGGCCACGTCTTCGATCACTTTGTTACACATTTCAGGCAACAGACTCGCAATCCGGCCAACTTTAAAAGCTGGCAGCCCGCAGGCTTCGCGAAAGTGGTCCAAACCTCATCTCCAAGCAAGCCCGAGTTGCGTGAGCGGCATCGCAAAGTACTAAGGATCTACTCTTGTGTGCTTTGTGTCTGGTCTTTGCATTCGGACTCTGGGTGTTTCGTGATACAAGCGACTTTGATGGCTTCGCCGGTCTTTGGTGGCGTAGCAGCGTAGCACTAAGTCACCGAGAGCTCGGAGTTCGTGTGCCCCAATCAGCATTCCTGTGATTCTACAGTTCAGCCAATGCTGCGGCCAGCCAGGATGGTATTTCGCTTTCAATGCGCTATGCGAGGGCACATCAAGGTGCCACGTAGTCACAACGAGCAGAAAGCACCTAGCCCGGCCGCATTCAGGATGCCAGGCGTCACAGCGCCGGGTACCAGGTACGCACCTCCACAGCCACAAACGAAGCTCTAGCCCGCACCGGAAGTCGGAGGAGAGGGCAACATGGCGAATTTTGGTTTGCGAAGGCGCTGTTGCTGATTTTGTCTGGTCCTGGCCTGGCGCGTCCAGGCCGCCTTGGGCGGCAGGCGGCCAAGGCGCTGCATCACCTGCACAGTGTGAAGCTTCGAGTTGTTCTCAGAGAGAGTGGCGCTTCTGGGCCTCCTCCACCTGCACCGCCTGCAGCCTGACAGCTGGGAGCAGCTGGTGTCAGGGAGCCCTTCAAGACTTCAGTCTAGTGCACCCAGGGGGCCTGGGGCATCGCAGCCAGACCTCTCATGGCTTCAATTCATCCACTGAAACAGTGTCTCAAAGTGTCTCAAACTCCTGCCTGTGCGGCTGGGTCCCTGGCACGAGTCACCCGCTTGCGCACCCCTCCCCACCGCTCCTGCTTGGAATCCGTGCCTCACTGTTGGGGCCTCGCTCTCGAAGTTGTGGGAACTTCCTCTCATATCGATGAGAATCAACCAGCAGCCAAAATCAAAGGCCGGAAAAAGACCATGCTCCAAATTTGCCCGGGGTGCTTCTCCAGCTTCTGTGCAATGCGCCTCGCAGGTCTTCTAAGGGATGTCAAACCAGTAGGGATCACCCCTCTTGCAAGGCGCAGCACAGCCCTACAGTTGCCAAGATCGAGTACTGTGTTTTTCACAGGGCTGTCCTTGATTTCTGGAAGAGGATCTGACAAAGATTGTTGATCTATGGGAAGAGCATACGTTTGGAATAATCCAAAAAGATAAACACACGAAGGCTGATGGCATGTCTCCGTACTGGTTAGCGGTAAATTTCGTAAGCGTTACCCTAAGCGTAATTTAAGAACAACTTAATGACCTTTGAACTGAGGCGGCAAATACTGCTATTGTAGCTAATGTCGCCTTGCTTTGTGAAGTCCTCACAAGCCGTCGTCGGCGGGGGTCTGGGTTTGAGGTCTTCAAGTACGTGTTGTTGGCATGCATTCTTGTACTGAGCTAATCAATCAACCAATACTGTTAGCAAGATCCTCGACCCAGTGAGATGCACACGAAGAAAGTTTACGACCTGGCTCAGTGTAAGGCAGAAAACCTGGACCCCCTGCCTCCCCTGGCCACTGGAGCGGAGCGACGGCAGCAAAGGCCGAACGGCAGCTGTCAGGGCCAAACAGAGCGCAGAGTCCGAATATTAAAAATGCTCAGTTGCACGAAGCAATCGCAGCTGAGGCAGATTTCGGAATATAGGTGTAGCGACAGGGAGCACGACGGCTACAGCTACGGGAGCTGGTTTCGCGCGCCTAGAACAGCTGATATCTGAGGTTCCACGGCGATGTTCAAAGCGCTTTGAACCTCCGGGACGGAGCAGCATGCGACGCTTCAAGCTCCGGCTGGGCGAGACGAGGCCGCGAGGCCGGGACAACGTAGTTCCCGTAGATGTCTCGAAGAAGCTCGCCTCGAAAAGGAACGGCAACGACACGAAGCACTGCAGTCTGCCGAGAACTGCGGCGATCTCTGACGTCGCGCTCACGCTCGCTTCATCGCGCTTTTTGGTGCGTCCGCGCCTAGGCCTCGAGGATCAGCCAGCTCGGTGATCATCCGCGCCCTGTCCTCACGCCGGGCGGGGGGGTTGCGCACTGCAACGCACAGGTGGATGAACACAGGCGCACTCTTTTGCACACCTACAGGGGCAGCTCTGCTCTGAGCGCTGGAGTCACAGCACAGCAAAGTCAGATGCATTCACCACATCCACCGTACGGAAGAGTGCTGGGATATCTTAGCCGCTTCCCCAAATTTTAGCTGACCTTGCGGGCGGTGCTTAAAGCGAACATGTTCAGTTCGTTTTTTTCAGTAGCCTCCTCTCTTTCGAGAGGGCGTTCGGGAGCTGCCCTCGTTCGGGCCTTGCCGTCGCTAGTCTCTAGAGTCTAGAGCACCGTTGCCTTTGCCGGTGTCCGCCTTGGTGAACATGTCAGCCACCATGCGCTGGTGCGACGTCCATCGAACTGGGCCGCCTCCATGGCATCGATGATGGCGGCCAGCTCCTGTGCGTTCCGACGGTCCTGTCGGCCGGCGGGGAGTCCTTTGACCAGGGCGTCGTAGAGAGATTTGGCGTCAGTCACCCCGGCCCGGTAGTTCACTTCCATTCCGCAGCAAGCAGGTGAAGGGCTGGATCACCTGCCTCCAGGTCTCGGCCGTCACGTCGCCGAACAAGAGGTCCCGGTACAGCACCTGCATCCACTCTATCTCGCCAAGAGGCAACGTCTCTGAGGGCAGTGTGCTTGTGACCCTCCGCTTCAGCTTGGTCGACCTCCACGACAGCACAGACACCCGCGGGTGCTCGTCGTGTGCTGGCAGCTTGTCGCTCGCCAGCACAATCCAGGACCCCTGCACCGTGTCTTCAATCATGCCGTTGGGTCCCGCACCGGTGGTCACTCCGTCCACGTATGTCCACGTCACCAGCATCACTGATGCCGATGAAGCACATCTTGCCCGGGGTGAAACATCTGAGTCGGATGCCCTGCCTCGGGGTGGACCTGACGTGGCCGATCAAAATGTTCGGGCTGATCACGTCCGCAATGGTTGCCCGGTTCGGCTTCGAGCTGAGGCCGCCTCCGGCCGAGTCTGATGCGACAGCCAGCTCACCCGGTAGAGCATGGAGCGGAAGTCCTCGGCCTCCTTGTCCGTCAGCTCGCTGTCCTTCTGGGGGCGCCTGTTCTTGCTGAGCTCCACGGCCTTCAATTTCTCCAACACGTCTTCTCCTGGTGCATAAACACATCGTCCTTCGTGATCCTCACGTGCCGCCCGTTGAAGTCGGCTTCGTTTCGAAGCCACTTGCCCAAGCGAAACTTTCTCTTGAGTCTTGAGGTTGTCGAGGAGCTCCTGCTCGTGCTCGGGCGGCACCGCCACGTTGAAGTCGTCGACCTCGACAAGGACCATTGCCTCGACTCGCGTCTCCACGCCTGCCGCCGCCATCGCCGCCACGCTCGATTGGGGACTCAGCTCCAGGAGCTGGACGTGAGCGAGCCGATGTTGAGCCTCGGCGCAGAGCCGTCGACATAGCGTCCTGGCGTGGAAGCGATTTTCCAACCCCAAACCACATGCAAAGGAGGAGTTTGGTCTCACCGACGGTGCCTTCAATCTCGGCACGAAGCTGACTGGGAGCGTCGTTCTGGGACCGTGGGAGGGGGCAGTGCTATGTCGCGGGATGGTGCACATGGTCAAGTGTGTGCGTCATGTGTGTCAGCAAGCTCTTCCGCGCAGTGGCGAGTTGCAGAGAGAGATTGGCCTGTGAGTTGAACACCGCTGTGCCATGTGAGGGGTGATGATGTGACTGTGCCGCCGAAGCACTTTGCTCGAGGCCGTTGTAAGCCTTCCCACGCTGAGCGGCACGATTCACATGGAAAGCGACCCCGAGCACAAGTGGAAGTTGCTTGCGACAAGCCTTCTTTATCGCCCGGGAAGCCGGCGGTGGACCAGCAATGCCCTCATCCCGCCGATTCGGTGGTCAACGGGGCAAATCAAAAAGGGTCATGGCGGCGGTGTCTGCTTTGTCAAACCAAAATCAGCTATGTCCCCCACCGAGCCAAGCCGAAGCAAAAGGCTGGGAAAGCCGGCGCATATGTCAGCGAGCCCCGCCGGAAAAGCCAGCTGATCGAGGCCCTTGGGAAGGTCATGGCCGAGAACTCCCGCCAGCTGCAAGCGGCGATGGCACAGTGCAACCAGCAGGTGCTGCAGGACAGACAAACCACAAGATGATTGCCTCTATGGGAAACGTGGTGCAAACAACGCTGGCGACGCTGGTAGGACACAGTGTTGCATCTCATGTCGATGGCCTCCAGCCGTCCAATTGAGATCAGGTGAGGGATGCTCTCCCGTCCTCGACCGTCACCCGCACCATCTTGGCTGGGGATCAGCGCCTGCCGTGGGCGGCGGGTTGAGACTTCTCAGACCTTGTGTCCTTCCCCACAAGGTCCTGGGCCGCCCTAATGTCGAGAATCGCGTGACCGCACAGCCGGCTGCTCCTGCTCCAACAGGCCGTCTGGCTCCCACGCTTGGCAACACCCTTCTTTGGGGGGGGGGGTCTGCCCTCGAGGTCAGTGTCATTCAGTGTCCTTGGTCGGGCGCGAATGGCGAGGTTCTTGCGGCCGGTCACAAAATCAAGCGACTTCTGGGCCCAGCCAACGAACGTGTTGTCCCCGAGCTCGTCCTCCACGGCCCCGAGGTAGATCTCCTCATCGACCTTTTTCCCTTCGTCAGCGGCTCCTCCTCTACATCCAGCGTCTTCAGGGCGCCCATCATGCGGTCAAAGTCGCCGGCGCCGCTGGTCAACGTCCTGAGGTTTTGCAGCCCGGTCGTGTCAAGCCCGTGTCTCCTCAGGTACCTGTCATCCCTGGCGAACTCCTGCTCCCGGCGCACAGAAAACTGCGAAAGCGTCTCGAGATTTCTTCCGAGGCAGCCGCCCCACGCCGGCGGGTCACTGTAGTCGCCCTTGGTGCCCGAGCCAGAAGATTGCCTCCTCGCCAGCCATCCTGACTCCACGAGCTGTTTCCCCACGGCTGTGCTGCCCAGTCCCACTGCGAAGCGTCTGGCGCCGTCTCCTAAATCGAGGTGGCTGCTGGCTCCGTGGCCTGAGTAACTCCATCATTCACTCCAGGGGCCGGGGCAGTGCCATCGCTGCCCGCCGCTTGCATCACGCACCACGTCGGCCAGGCACCTGAACTCGAGCCGCCCCTGTTGTACGTCGTGCCAGATGCGCCTTGGTGCCATCCACCATGTGACATGCAGGCCCGAGGTCGAAGACCGGGCTCCGCTACCATCTGTGCACTGCAGCGCACAAGGGCAGCTCTGCTCTGAGCGCTTGAGTCACAGCACCAGCAAGGTCAGATGCGTTCACCACATTCACCGTACGGAAGAGTGCTGGGATATCTTAACAGGTTCTGCTCTCGGCTCCTCGGGACTGGCGAGCTGGAGGCACCGTTCCACCACGTTGGAGCTGAACTTCTGCCGCGAGAGCACCTGCCAGCTGGAGGAATGCCCCCTTAAAAACCCCCCCCCCCCCCCCCCCCCTTGCATGCCCCCACTTCCGAAGCCAAGGTCTCGACATTCAGCCGCCCCGTCATGGCAGTCACGATCAAGGAGCTGGCCTTTTGCAGTCGTGCAGGGACCGGCCGCCTAGGCCTCTGCAGAGCCCTCGCTGCCTGCGGATCTTGGAGGCCTAGCACGTACTGCACCACGTAGTTGCCGAAGGGATCCTGTGGTTATGAGGAGAACCCAGGAAAGATGATGCGGGAGGACATTGCGATCTGCCTGGATCAATGTCAAAGAAGCCCTGCATATGGCACCTGCGAGGAGCAAGCCGTCGGTTTCCGCATAGGGTTTAAATTAAATAACCCTCGGTGAAAATGTCCTGCCTATCAGCATTGTTCGATCGCTGCCCTTTGCAGCATCGATGCATCTTTGAACAATCCTCAGGGAGGCGCAAGCCCACGCCATGCCGCTCAGATCTCGAATCCAAGGTAGCTTGTGGTCCTGCAGCCGTGCCGGTGCGAAGCCACGTCTTCGATGTCTTTCGCCACTGCCCTGGCAAAATAGCGACTTCCGGAACAGAAGCCGACGGCACACCCAGGTGCCCGCAACATTCACTCCAACGCCCACTCTGCATTCCGCAATTTTGTGCCTGAAGATGAAGCCGTGGGCATCGCTCGGGAGTGACTCGGCCCAGGTACACTTTCCATGCTCAGGTGATAGACTCAGAGCATGTCAGAGCTGCACCTCGAGGCATCTTTGTACCACGTGGTTCCCGTTCGGGTCCTCTTGCCAAAAGAAGAACACATGGAGAAAACAGAAGAGGAAGAGCTGAGGGTGGTTGCGGGCCGCGGGCGCCTTCGTGAGCGTGACGACAGCGAAATCCAGGGCCCCCTCGGCGCCGTGGCGTGGGTGGGTGCACGGCGGCGCTGGCTCTCGCTCGCAACTCTCTCTCAAGATCTCTGCGAGGCCCGCACCACGAGCCGGGTCATGCAGACAGGCACCATCCGGACCACGTCGATCAGCTTCTGGCAGGGACATGGACTGGACCCAATCATGCTCTGGAAGGTAGGCGTCCTGCACGGCTCTAGCTCCGTGCATATTCAAAGAGATGTTCACAAGGCTGCCATAGGTCTTGTCTACCAAAACCTCACAAATGGAAGGAAGGCCAGCGCCAGACTCCAAGCTTCGTGATCGGTGCCTCGAGCTGTCGCGCGGTGGACATCTCCATGAGCTTCTGGCAGAGGTAGTTCCTCGGCTCGCAGAAGCCGCACAACTCAGATCGCAAGGCAAGACACCTTCAAGCTCAAGGGCACACTGCCAGGCACACCAAGTGTCCCGAAGGGATCCATCATGAGCTCAACTGCATGTGTCACAACCTTGCGGGAGCTCCCAAAGGCAATAAACAGGAGAACATTATTACGCTCTCCGATTTTTGGAAGCTCCTGGCCTCACTGAAGACTGCCGCGAACACGTCAGGACCGCCCTGGCGCTCGAAGTGTGCGGCCCAGTGCCAAGAAGACCCTCAGCTCTCCTCACCTCATCGAGCTTGTGCTGCAGCATCCTGCAACCCGCCTGGTGGGCTCGACATCGTGCATCGCGCCAGTCAACACACAAGAAAAACAAGAAAGCGTGCGGGACAGTGCGGCGACCTGGTCCTTGGCGATGCAGTAAACGTTGTTGATGTAGGCGCTGCTTTTGAACATCTCCTCGTGAAGGTTCTTAGCTGCAGCCTTGGCATGCAGCCATGGCATGGAGCATGAAAAGGCGTCCTCCAGCTGCGAGAGCTTGAAGGCACTCCTGCAGGCGCTTGACTCGAGAATCCATGAGAAGTCCAACATTGTGCAGCTCACGCGGGGCCATGCGCGGCCTCGGCTTCCTCTCAACTTCCCTGGCAAAAGCAGCACGTGGGTGAGGGAAGCGAAGGCGAACGGGAGCGAAGAGAAGACAAGGGCCCCTTATGGCACGTGCCGGGAGTGCTCCGCTTTTGTGGCAGCGGCACCTCGAAACAAGACTGTCCCATCGCCAGAGTCCTCTAACAGTGCTACGAGTAATGTGTGCACCCTCAAGCCTAAGCGCCTACTGGCGGAATCCCCGAGAGTTTGGTTCCCCTGGCCGAGCCTCGGCTCCCTTCCGGCACCGAGTGCACTGTCACAGGAGCCTTGGTCACGGGTCGACACTGCACTCTGCGCTTTGGCCTTGTGGCGACCAAGGTAATGGCCCGAGCAAGTGCCTTCGGCCTGGAAGGCAAAGGAACAGACAATACAAAGCTTCGGGACTTTAGTTTTCGGAGACTTTAGAGGCCATGAAAGCTGAGCGTACTGCTCAGGTGCTGCCGTACAAGGGGTCGGAGCCGACCTGAGAAATCAACATGTCTTGAGCTTCCTTGATACCGAAGGGGAGAGCAAGCTCCCTGCGGTGGCAGTCTGCCGATAGCTCCTGTGGCATCTCACCAAATCACCAAGGGAAAGATCCCAAGCTTGCAATCAAAGGTTTTGAAGCGCCTCTATCAGGACTTCTGCTGGCTAAGGACACCTGAGGCCACTGGCTACAAGCGGCAACGACAACGACGAACATAATGTTTGGGCTCTGCACGTCTTCGCGAGCCGCCCCGGCCCTGGCCACGCCGGCCTGGCTGCGCAGTTGTCACACCACGCTTGAACCCAGCCACTGACACTGAGTGCCACTGAGCCCAGGACTGGAAGGCCAGCGTTGGGGAGCAGCGACATAGGCACCTGGTCTTCCACTAGGCAGACGCCTGCAAGTCCTGCAGCGTCCCGCCATGACCCGCCTGCCCCCATGGGAAGGAAGCCGGCGGGACACCCTCAGGCTGTGCACAAGCACAAGTCTGCATGCACTCGTGGAATTCCTTGAGGTGGGTGCTGTGGGGTAGCCTGCGGTCCCAAGCAATGGTTGATGCCTGAGGAAGAACCCGTCAGAGCACCGCAAACGCTCCTAAGTAGCACGTTGCCCGCCTAAGAGTTGCTTCCAAGTACCTCGGTCTCGGTGTATTTCCGTAAAGAAACAAACCAGAAGCTGTTAAAGCGACGGCAGCGTCACAAGGCCTCGGCCCATGAACACCAGACGTGCTCGTCAACGGTAGCCCTGCAGCGGCTCACGGCTCGCGCGGCTCGCGCGGCTCGCGGCTGCCAAGCACAGCAGCGCGGGTCCTTGTAGCGAGCCCGGCAGCGGAGGCACCTCGGATTCCAAGCGACAGCTGCAAGCAGCCACTGCCATCTCTACGTGTCTGCGTGTCGGCGGAATCCGCAAAACCCAGGCTGGCACGCCCAGGCCCGTCTGCCCAGCTGGAGGCTCCTGCAGAGCACATGGGCTTGTTCCGATTCGCAGAGCATGCAAATCACGTTCTCACAGCTCCTGCGACGCAGCGTGCGAACTGGCAAAGGCAGTCAAATCAAGGTGAACGCATGCCAAATCCGCATGAAAGTGTGCAAGACGCAGAGTGCAAAAAGTCTATGGACAGGCCACATCATGTAGCGAGTAGAACACCAATGGAAAAAGTGGAACAAATACTGCGAACCCCAGCTCTTTCCCGAGTCTTTTTGAGCTACATGTTTCCACTCATGCAAGGGGTAGGTCGTGTAGGGACAAAACTTGACAAGCACAATATCTGAAAATCGGTGCTGGCGGCTTTTGGTCTCGGTCTTTGGGGCTTCCAGTGCCTTAGGGCTCCTCATTGGGCTTAGTTCATATTACTGCAAACAGGGTGTGCCCTGCCCACGCCTGGCTTGCGCGGAGTGGAGCGAACTGGTCAGGAGTCAAGACTGCGTTAGGCCGCTAGGCTCTGCAGGAACTGTGCTGATCGTCGCGAGTCAGCAGCTTGGCATTTTTTCGAACGCTCAAGCTGACACCATGGCCAGAGACCTGCAAGGGCAAACCTTCAGCACGTGCTGGCGCGTGCCACCTGAGGTGCCTGGGCACACGAAAGCAGTTGTACTCCGCTACCGAGCCCAGCCACCGGAAAGTTCCTTTCCCTTCCATGCTGGCGACGTGCACTGCGGGCAATCACGCCGGCAAACTGACTGCAACATCCTCTAAGAAAAGAGATAGCGTGACATCACAGCAGGTAGCAGGTAAGAAACAGGGTTTTGACGGTCGCTAGTGCCGGCGCGATGCTGCACTTCATTCTTCAAAGATTTTTTGCAGCGCTGCAAACGTTCGCCTCATTGTGCGAGCAGAGCTTCCGCCGCCGCTTTCTTGCGAACTTACAGTCCGAGAAGAAGGAAAGAAGTGTGACTCGCCAATCCTCAGTCAGGCATTTTGCTCGCTTGGCGCCAGGCATCCCAGCATTCACACGTCTGCACACATGCACGACACTGCACGACAGTACGACAGCCTCGCACAAAATAACGCGCACAAGTCTCAAAGTGGGGGAGCTGACTCAAGGAGAAATTTCAAGATCCATTGCTTCTGTCGCATGGTTGCCTTCGGCAGCACAAGCACTTCGCCGCCACCGCAGTGTCGCGGACTCTGCCTTGGACCAGCACGAGGTTTGCAGTATGCAGTGCAGAACATAGCCACCAGGCTGGACGAAAGTGCGCTCCTGCGCAATAATGGCGAGTGAGCTGCGGTGCTGCCATCTCCGCCGACCAAACTAATTCAATCCAGCTCGGCTGCAGTGTCCATGGCCTGCGCCTACGGGCCATGCAGCTGGCCTGCATTCCCTGTACAGCTAAGGCAGCTAAGAATTCATCGAAGTCGAGGATCACGTATCGAAGGTACAGAACCGATAAAATGCAAGTTCACTGTGTGTTGTTGCTATGAGCAACAAATATATCTTTCATGTGAACCTCAAAAAAAGCAAAACTGAAGAACAGCTCAAGGCAACCCTCATGTTTCCTGGGGTTGCATTGAGTTGACCTGTTCTTTGTAGGATCGACACTCGGGAAAAGAAAGTCCCATGCAAAGTGGAAGGGTTCAAGAACAAGACGACCACGACGAAGCACGCATTGAATTATCGTGATTGAAAATGTGCGACCCTCCCTGAATGTCAGGACAAGAAGATTCCAGATGCGTGAGCAACAGCCTGGTAAGCTGACTGCATCCAGCTCAAGCGGAAACCGGGCCAAAACCACATTTGTGGCTTCCCAGATCCGCGTGTTCCAAAGAAACAAGGTGAATGACCATGCACTCATCGCCGGCGCAGTCGAAGAGTCTTTGTGACAAACTCCAAGGCTGCGCGAGTTGCAGTGAGCTGTGCAAATTGAATTCTGTTACGGGAAGCACAGGCTGTGCTGAGTTCTCTGCAGACAGGAACAATGTTCTGCCAGTTTGCATAGATGCAGACAGTCAGCAATATTCAGCAATAGACACATCCCAAAAGGACCATACCAAGCGACATGTCGAGCAAAGCACACCATTGTAAATATTGCGCGCAGCATTTGTAATCATACCGTAGATTTCTACTAGCTTATGATACTTGCGATCCATTGGATGCAGACGCTGCATGCATCGCCATGTCACACACAACTTGTGATACATACGTTACGACGTCTGTGCATGGAATGAACCATAAAATACGAACATATGGGCAAAAAAGCCAATTCAGATGTGCGCACTACGCACATGTACAATTGCCTATATACTTCTGCGCCCGAGTCTGCGCAGGATGCCTGAATTCAGTATGTATGCACATGCATGTTTTGCATCTGCTTGTTGTGTCTCTGTCTGTTTCTCTCGGTCTTTCGAACTGCACGCACTCTGAATTGATACATGCCTGCTTTAACTCACAGAACACATGTACAAAGTTCTGCAGGCATACATACATACATACATTTTAATCGATATTACTGCTCCGATGAGTCACCATCTAATACCCCTTGTGCCCACCGTTGTGCTCTCTTGTGCATTTCTTGCGCACACACACCAGTTTCTTGCAGAAACCTACAAAAGCGATAGCAGCAGCAGTCGCAGTACCAGCAAGTAGTACTAGTAGTAGTAGTAGTAGTAGTAGTAGTAGTAGTAATAGTAGTAGTTGTTGTTGTTGTTGTTGTTGTTGTTGTAGTTGTTGTTGTTGTTGTTGTTGTTGCTGTTGTTGTTGTTGTACTTGTTGTACTTGTACTCGTACTCGTACTCGTACTCGTACTCGCACTAGTACTAGTACTAGTACTAGTACTAGTACTAGTACTAGTACTAGTACTAGTACTAGTACTAGTACTGGTACTGGTACTGGTACTCTTACTAGTACTAGTACTAGTACTAGTACTAGTCGTCGTAGTGGTGGTGGTAGTGGTAGT